GGGGAGTTCCAGGCCGCAGTAAGCCAAGATCACGCCACTACACTCCAGCCTAGGTAACACAGCAAGACCCTGTCTCAAAAATAAATAAGTACTATATTATATTTATTTAAGTATAATAGCATAGTAAATACTAGGCAATGGGAATTTTTTAGCTCCATTATAATCTTGTGAGACCACCATGGAGATTTGCAATCCGTCGTGGATGGAAACGTGATTACATGGCACATGACTGTATTGTGCCACAGTTCTGTCATTCTCTCTTGTATATTTATAGATCTTTTTTTCAAACTCATTTGAAAGTAAGCTGCAAAACCCAGCCACATTTCCCCTAACATTGCAGTGTGCACCTGGAATGAATATGGACATTCTCCCATATAGCTACGATACCACTGTCATACTTAAGAAAGCTAACATTTATTTAGCAAAATGATGCCATTTAATATGTGACTTACCTGTTATTTTACCAGTTGTCCCCAAATGCCTTTTTTTTTTTTTTTTTTTTTTTGAGACAGAGTCTCTGTCGCCCAGGCTGGAGTATAGTGGCACAATCTCAGCTCAATACAACCTTCCCCTCCAACTCCCAAGTAGCTAGGATTACAGGTGTGCACCACAACACCTGGCTAATTTTTGTGTTTTTACTAGAGACAGGGTTTCACCATGTTGGCCAGGCTGATCCTGAACTCCCGACCTCAGGTGATCTGCCCATCTCAACCTCCCAAAGTGCTGAGATTACAGGCATGAGCCCATGGTGTCTGGCCCTTAAAATGCCTTTTATTTCTTTATTTATATTTATTAATTTATTAAGATGGAGTTTTGCTCTTGTCACCCAGACTGGAGTGCAATGGCGCAATCTCTGCTCACTGCAACCTCTGCCTCCCGGGTTCAAGCGATTCTTGTGTCTCAGTCTCCTGAGCAGCTGGGATTGCAGGCGCCTGCCACCACACCTGGCTAATTTTTTTATATTTTTAGTAGAGGTGGGATTTCCCCATGCTGGCCAGGCTGATCTCGAACTTCTAACTTCAGGTGATCCGTCCACCTCAGCCTCCCAAAGTGCTGGGATTACATATGTGAGCCACTGCATCCAGCCTTTTTTTAAATTTTCAGATACGGGGTCTCACTATATTGCCCCAGGTAGGCTCAAGTGACCCTCCCACCTTGGCCTCTTGAAGTGCTGGGATTATAGGTGTGAGCCACCATGCCAGGCCCCCTGGCTTTTTTTGAGACATATTCTTGCCCTGTCACCCATCTTGGAGTGCAGTGGAATAATCATAGCTCACTGCAACCTCAAACTCTTGTGCTCAAGTGAACTTCCCACCTCAGCCTCCAGAGTAGCTAGAATGACAGGTGTGTGCCACCACACCCAACTCATTTTTTTCTTTTTTTTTTTATTGAGATGGAGTCTCACTCTGTCACCCAAGTTGGAGTACAGTAGCACGATCTTAGCTTGCTACAACCTCTGCCTCCTGGGTTCCAGTGATTCTTCCACCTCAGCCTCCCAAGTAGCTGAGATTATAGGTGTGCACCACCACACTCAGCTAATTTTTGTATTTTTAGTGAAAATAGGGTTTCACCATGTTGGCCAGGCTGCTCTCAAACTCCTGACCTCAAGTGATCCGCCCACCTTGGCCTCCCAAAGTGCTGGGATTATAGGACAGCCACCGTACCCACTCTTAATTTTTAAATTTTTTTTTGTAGATGTGGGGTCTCGCTATGTTCTCCAGGCTGCTCTCAAACTCCTAGCCTCAAATGATCCTCCCACTTCAGCCTCCCAAAGCAATGAGATTACAGGTGTAAACCACTGTGCCTAGCCAAGATCATTCATTTTTAGACTCTGCCCCTATAATATTTGAAGGGGGATTACTTTGGCATTCAGCCTGTGGTGACCCTGGGACCCCCAGGCTGAAATGACCATTCAGCGGCCTGAGGGTCACCCAATCCCTGTGATGTGGACAGGACAGCTGGGTCACAAGGGTTAGCCCCAGCAAGCAGGCTCACTCATATTGGTAGCCCTCTCAGTTGTTTAGATGGTTTTGTGAGAAGCAACAACCTTAAAGGGTTGGCTTGTAATTACACAACTATGCATATTGTCCATCCCTTCACTTATCTGTACTGAGTAAACGACACCAAGAGAAACTTCCAGATGTCCTCAGGGCTGGGATAGTTCTATTTGTCATCCTGGCACTCTGTTGGAATTGAGAGATCTACGTTCTGGAAATAGCTTTGGTCTGGACTAGGAAAGAGGAAGCAGTGTGGGAGTGTGGAGTGTTGTCAAGATTGTGGACCGGATGCTGGGGAAGGAAAGGATGCAGATGGGGAGGAAGAGATGAAGTCGCTGGCACGAGCCCTGGACAGCAGCTGGCACCACTTGGGGAGTGGGGAGCCCCAGAGCTGGTGGCCTTGGAGAAGGGCTTTGTAGGCCCACTGCCACATCCCTGGGGCCTAGGAGCCAGAGACAGGGAGAAACAAACCTGTACTGCAAAGAGGACAGGGCTGAGCTGAGGGCGACGCATCAGGATGTGCCAGAATGTGGGCCTGGCGTAGTCTACGCCCTGGGAGGGGTGAGCACTGTTTTCCAGGTAGGAAACCCAAAGTGCAAAGAGTTGGGGAAGGGGCAGAGGCCTGAGCCTCAAGTTTGTCAGCATTTTAAGTACAACCTCTCCAAAAGCAATGTAACTCAAGCCTTGTCTAATTTTAATATTGATGGTCCCCATCTTATGACGGTTCAAATTACAATTTTTCTTTTTTTTTTTGTTTTGTTTTGTTTTTGAGACAGAGTCTCACTCTGTTGCCCAGGCTGGAGTGCAGTGGCATGATCTCAGCCCACTCCATCACTCCATCCTCCATCTCCTGAGTTCAAGCAATTCTCCTGCCTCAGCCTCCTGAGTAGCTGGGACTACAGGCATGTGCCACCACACCCAGCTAATTTTTGTATTTTTAGTAGAGGCAGGGTTTCACCATGTTGGTCAGGCTGGTCTCGAACTTATGACCTCGTGGTCCACCCGCCTTGGCCTCCCAAAGTGCTGGGATTATAGGCGTGAGCCACCGCACCCAGCCTCAAATTACAATTTTTCAACTTTACAATTGCGCAAAAGCAATAGGCTTTCAGTACATTCCTCAACTTTACTTCCAAATAGATCTATTGTAAGTTGAAAATATTGTATGTCAAAAAAGCAATTTTTTGGCCAGGGATCGTGGCTCATGCTTGTGATCCCAACAGTTTGGGAGGCTGAGAAAGGACTTGAGGCCAGGAGACTGAGACCAGCCTGGACAACATAGCAAGACCTTCATCTCTTAAAAAAAAAAAAAAAACGTACTTTTTACTTGCGATATTTTCAACTTCCACTGGGTTTATTGGGATGAAACCCCATTGAAAGTCAAGGAACATCTGTATATTCATTTGGGCATGAGTGGAAATACTGGTAACTAGCCTGAGCTCACTGATAGGAGTAATTAGGGTGAGGCTAATGTGGTGATTTAAAGCAAAAAGTAAATTTAAGGAATGTGAAGTAAATAAGCATATAGGTGGCCAAGGGATATGGCAGGAATCATGAAGGTATTGGGAAAGCAGCTAGTGCTGGGTGACAGATGTTACAGGACAGGAGGGCCCCCAGCAGCCTCCAGGACGGCCAGTTCTGTCCCTATAGATTTGCTCCCCCTGCCTTCAGCGCAGCAGGATTTGCAGCAGTGTAGGAGAGCAGCCAGCTGGGATCCAACGGGACCTTTTGGGAGGTCCCGCAGGGGTTGCTTCTTTCTGCCTGCCTTGTCCCCGCTCCTGTCCTCTCCTGGTCTTGTTTTGGCTGTCCTTGGGCCCTGGGCTGCGGCAAGTAGTGGAGGGCTGCAGGTGCATGTCCTGGGTGGGGCATGGGCCACCGACGGGCTTTGCAGGGTCCCCTCCCCTGCCCCCTTCACGGCTGCATCTGTCTCTTTCCTCTGCAGGGGGAGGGGTTGCACCAACTACGCGAGGCTTTGAAGATTTTAGCTGAGAGGGTTTTAATCTTGGAAACAATGATTGGGCTCTATGGTGAGTAGAGACAGACAGACGGACAGACGGCCCAGCCCTTGCCTGCTGGCCTTCCCCAAGCCCTCCTGGGGCGGATCTGGCCTAAGGCGAGTCATGAGGCTGGAGAAGGTGCCTGCCCCAGGCAAGCATGGACCCGAGAGGCCATGACCACCCATCCCTCACTGGTTCCCTCCTCTACAGGGGCTGGGGTGCCTTAGAAACCCGGGCCCCGCCCCTGTGGTCAGACCTGGGCCTCTAGGCATTATGGGCAGTGTGGTTTCCAGGCCTGCAGGGAACCAGAGATGACAGATTTCAAGTTTGGAAGAACTTATGGGCAATGGAACCAAACTCCAGTCCAGCAGTGGGATTGTGGGCAAAAGAGTTAGACTCCTGCAGTGCAAGGGGAAATGGGTAATCAAATCACAGCTCAGGGCAACAGGAGGATTATAGGTAATGGATCCAGACTCTAGCCGGCCTTCAGCTCTAGAGAAATCATGGGTAACAGTCAGCCCCCAAGACAATAGGTCATGGAGCAAGGCTCCTGAAGGGCAGGAGACTGAGTGACAGAGCCAGGCTCAGCCCCCAGGGGACTCTGGGTAATACACCACCTACCAGTTCTGACCTTCCTCTCCCATAAGCCCCCAGAGGCTCTCGCAAGGCAGGCTGTCTGGCCTGGGGCCACTTACTGGCCCCAGGTGTCCCCTTTGCAGTTTTCCCTTTGGTCCTCCCAACCTGTTCTGTTGGTCCCTTTAGGGGACTAAGAGCCAGGCAGTCACCCCAGGCATTCACCCAGAAACTTCCCACCCATGTGGTCACTCAAGGAGCCAGGCCAGCCCTGTCCCCACCTTAGGAGAGGAAACAGAGGTCTCAGTAGAGACTCACTCCCAGGCTCCTGCCCTGATGCCAGCTGGCAGTGCCCTCCTACCCTCCCCGCTTGGCTCCCCAGCCCAGCCCTTGGAGGCCAGACTCGCACTGTCTGCTCTTCTCCATCTCCCATCAGGCTCCTAGCTTACAGAGCTTCCTGCAGCAGCAGGCTCAGCTGGAGCTCCTGGCCAGACGGGTCACCCTGCTGGAAGCCATCATCTGGCCAGGTAATGGCAGGGCGGGCAGGCAGGGGCAGCCTCTTCCAGGAAGGGCCTGGGAAGGGCCTGGGCATGCAGAAGGCACCTTCCGATGCTCGGCCCAGGCCAGCGGACACTCGTTCTGCATCCAGCCAACCAGCAGATGGTGCCTGGTAGAGAGAAGGCTCTGGTCACTGAAGTGAATGAGCACCTGCTCTGTGCCAGGCACCTTGTTGGGACAAGCTCCACCAGATAAGACAGATATAGCCCTGCCTTTGAGGAGTGTAGGGTGCTGGGGGGCTCAGGAGAACACTGACACTGGTAGAGAAACCCAAGGTGAGCTACACTGCAGGGAAGGGAGTACAGGCAGCCATGGGAATACAGAAGTGCCTCTGGCCTGGCCTAGAAGAGGTTGGAGGGGGGTCAGGGAGGTCTTCCTGGAGGGGGTAACATCTAAGTGGAGACCTGAAGGGCAAAGATCTGGGGAGAGTGAACAGGCAGAGAAACAGCATGAGTGAAAGCCAAGAGACCAGGAGCCCAGAAGCAATAGAGTCCAGCAGGGCCCAGATCAAGAAGGTCCTAGAAGGCAGCTTGGGGTAACACAGGAAGTGGTTAAGACACCAGTAGGCAGTACCCCTCCTTGCATCTGCCTCCTGGGAGTTAGGCTGAGAACATCTCTCCCCATGAAACTGGAGCCTGTGGCTGGCCCCGGAGAAAGGAAGGGATTGGCCACCCAAGGGGCTGGGCTCTGTTCCTCACCTGCCCAGCAGCCCCATCTCACAGCCCAGTGAGCATATCAGTGCACAGAGGCCTCCACATCATGTCCAACCTCGCATCTATTTTAGAGACTGAGAGGCTGGTTGTGGTGGCTCATGCCTGTAATCCTAGCACTTTGGGAGGCCGAGGTGTGTGGATCACCTGAGGTCAGGAGTTTGAGACCAGCCTGAGCAACATGGTGAAACCCTATCTCCACTAAAAATACAAAAATTAGCTGGACGTGGTGGTGGGCACCTGTAACCCAAACTACTTGGGAGTCAGAGGCAGGAGAATCACTTGAACCTGGGAAGCAGAGGTTGCAGTGACCTGAGATCACTCCACTGCACTCCAGCCTGAGAAACTTAGGTCCCAAGCAAGAAGGAGGGTTAAAGTTAGAGCCCAGCCACCTTCATCCAGCAAAACCATAGGGAGCACTCACTGAAAGCCAGGCTGGGTGGGCACTGGCGCTCTGAAGTGCAGACAGGTCCCTGCCTTGGGGAGCTGCCCATAAGAGGCAGGGAGTCATATCTATAGAGCTGTGGGGTTGGGGAGCACGGAAGGTTGTGGATGAGGAACAGTCACTTGTCCCTAAGGGTGGAGAAGTCTTCTTGGAAGACATGACTCTGCGTTGGATCCTGGAAGATCCCAATGAGTGTGCCAGGTGGGGAAGTGGGCGGGGAAGCCCTGAGAGAGAGTCCTGCCTGTGCAGAGGCCCAGAGGCTGGGAAGTGTATGGGGTCTGCTTCCAGAGCCCCTCCCACAGTGCTGCGTGCTTCTCTAACTTCCAGAAACTTCAGTGCCTAGCTCCCAGACATCCTCCCCTCTTACAGAGAGGGGCCAAGGACCAAATATCAGTCTCTCAGCACCTTTTTAGGTACCCCCACCCTCTCTCTCAGGATTGGGGCAGGAGCTAGAAGGGACACATTTGGGTTACTGTGACTCTGGATCTGTCCCTGCCTTCAGCGAGCTCTGACTCTGATAGCCCAGGAAGAGAAGTGACAGGCACCTCAGAAGGTCCACACCCACTGCCAGTGGCCCCTCAAGCCAGCTAGGGTCAGGGCTTAGAGAGACAGGTCGGGGGAGAAGGAGATGGACCAGGGAAGAAGGTGGGACCCTCCTCATTGGCCCAACATACATAGCAGATGCTATTGAAGACCCAGATGGAGTTTATGTTTAGGTTATAGTCAATAATTATAATAGTATCAGCTGCCACGTGTCTGGCCCACCTGAGCAGGATTGATCATCTCCAATCTGTTAGAGTAGTAAGCTTGCTAAGTGAGCGATGCCATGGCCATTTTACAGATGAAGAAACAGAGGCTTGGTGGGCTCTTGTGATTGCTTCAGGGTCACAGGGATAGGAACGGTCAGGCTAGGGGTCCACCTCAGGTCTCCCCTCTAAAGTGCTGGCTCTTTGGGCTTCATCAGCAAAGGTTTGATGACTCTGCTGCTCATCCAGGGCCCCAAATTTGATTGTGACAAAGTCACAGGGACCAGACCCACAGGAGATCTGGGTCGAAATGACACCAACCTCATAACCGTAATAATCCAGCATTTCCTGCAAAAACCACTTTCCAGTCCTGGTCATGGTAAACACATGTATCACAAGAGTGTGAAAACAGGACTATTATCCCCATATTCCGATGAGGCTCAGAGGTTCTGTGACTTGCCCAAGGCCACATAACTGTGGTAGAGTGGGACCAGGACACAACCCTAAGTGGCACTGGAGGGCCAGTGCTCGGTGCTACTCCCCTCCCACACTCCCTGACTTCGGGTATGGGATGTCCCTTTCAGTTACCACACATGCCTGTCTGCTCTAGGAGCCCTCGTCTCAGCCCAGAAGTGCATGGAAGGCTGGGCAACACAGGGTCAGGGCACTGGCAGTCATGATTACGAGGGGATAGCCCACTCCCTGGCAGTGCCCTCAGTGGGAACCTGGTGTTCACCAGAACCCAAGTATCTGTCCTATTGAGGCTTAGCCAAGTCCTCCACCGAGGGCTTCTCCTCCCTGAGTGTCCGTCTCCCCCTAGAAAAACAGCCTATTCTTCTGACCTGCCTGGCCTGCTCATTTTGCTTTGGGAAGGGCTGAGATGATAGTCACAGAAGGCTTCCTGGAGGAGGTGGCTCCTACCCTTGGTTTTGAAGGATGAGTAGTTTTTCAGTTCCATTTGGAACTGTCCCTGTTGTAGACATGAGACAACTGAGGCCCTGACAGAAGCACAGCTTACCCAAGGCTGCACAGCAGGTCAGTGGCAGAGCCTGGCCTCCTAAGCCCTTTCCCCCAGCTGGCGACTTAGCCCAAGTCTGTTCCCTAGCCTCAGTTTACCCAGCTACCAAATGGGGATGATTCAGGGCACACCTCCACCCCAAAATGAATAGAAAAAATAACCAGCCTTTATATGAAGCATTCACTGCATGCTAAACACTTCCTAAAGGCGGTGAGTCTGGTTATTTCCACTTGACAAAGCAGGAATCAAGCCCTGAGTGTTCTTCTTGGGTTGGTGGCTGGTAAATCCTGGGGGGAGGCATTAACCAATCTGCAGACCCCCTTGCCCACAGCTCTGTGGCCAGACACCAGGGTAGATTACACCTGGCAGAGGTTGCCCAGTTCTGCCAACCCCTAGAGGGCCAAGGGGAGGTAGGCACCTCACATGAACCTCCCTAATGTGGCCTCTCTCCTTCTTCCCTTCGGCAGAACCAGAGCTGGGGTCTGGGGCAGGCCCTGCCGGCACAGGCACCCCCAGCCTCCTTCGGGGCAAGAGGGGCGGATATGCAGCCAACTACCGGATCGTGGCCCCCAGGAGCCGGGACGAGAGAGGCTGAGGGTGATGGTGGCCCCTGGGGCAGACCAGGCCAGGCTTCCCCTCCTACCTGGACTCAGCTAGCTGCCTCCAGGGACCACCCGTCCATATTTATTAATGTCCTCAGGGTCCCTTCTGCCATCTAGGCCTTAGGGGTAGGCAGGTCTCAGTCCTGGCACCTCACACATGTCTGAGGCTGAGCAGGGCCTGAGAGGTGAGGCCTGGGCCTCAGTTTCCCTCTGTGACGTGGGGGGATGTAGGCCTTCAAGGAAGGGTAGAGGTACAAGGCTTCCTCTCATATGCTTTCTGAGCATCTAGGCCCAAAGGCACTAAGGGAGTCAGGAGCTGGGGCTCAGCACATGCAGGGATGACATGGTGGGGGGGCAGTCTCCCTCCCCCTCCTCCCCAACCAAACCTCGGGGCGCCCTCCTGCACCCCTCCCTCCTTGTTGTCCAGTGCTGGGTTCCCACTCCAAGGTCAGGCTGCCCAATCTCTTACTGGATTGCCAGGGGCTCCTTGCCTTAGTTCTCCCCTCTGAGCTCCCAGGCCCTCCTGCGTTTCAGTTGGGGCTGGGGGCATGGAGAGGAAGGGACCACCTGCTCCCACAAATGCTTTTCACAGACACCAGGAGGTAGAAGTGTGCTGGCCAATAAAGGCCCCTACCTGATTCCCCGCAGGCTGGTCTCACTGTGTGCTTAGATGGGGGCAGCAGGGAAGAGGGTGTGATGGGAGGAAGGCTAGAAATGGGCAGGAGACAGGCAGTGGAGAACGCTCTGCGCTGGAAGACGAGCCTCCTGGAAGAACAGGCTGCACGGCGCAGGGGCAGGAAGCCTGTGTCTCTGGACATCAGGGAACAGCTCTCCCACAACTGGTCATTCATTTGGTGCTCATTCATTCATTCATCCCTTCATCCCCCTGATGCCAACACAGAAGAGTCAAACACAACTGCTGCCACCAAGGAGGTCCAGGTTGAAATACAAACTGGTTTTTATTCTAAATGTATACTAGGGCAGCATGCTGTGGGGCCTCTCCTGCCTCCAGAGGTGCCTCTGCACCCTGCTGCGGCCCTCAGCAGACAGAGCAGGGGCTCAGGGTACCCACATGCAGCCCAGCCCCTTGACACCCAAGGGCCTGCCTGTACCCCCACTCTGTCTGAGCTAGGGAGGCCCAGGACCCTCGGAGTGGGCAGGCCCACCCTTCCCCTGGGTCACCAGGGCCTTAGTTCCCACTTGTCCTCCGACCAGCAGTGACACAGCACCCTCCACGCGGCCTGTGGCTGCCAGCGCCACCACCGCCTGCTCCGTGGGGAAGCCCATGCGCTCCAGCTGCTGCAGCCTGTGGGGAGTGGGGAGACAAGTTCAAAGTGTCAGGGCCACCCGTGGCCCCTACATCAGGGGACCCCACCTCTGCCCAGCCCACCTTACCGCAGAGAGGAGACAGAGGACTTGGACAGCCATGGTGGGCTCTGGGGCCCCTGGGATGGCCCGTCAAGAAGTGAGGCCTGGATCCCCTCCTGCAGCATCTGCTCATCCAACGCCTCCCACATTGGAGTCCCTGGGGAGAAGCTGGCCCTGGCCCAGTCCAGGCCCGCCTCTGAGGAGCCCTCCCAGGTGGGGTGCACAGGCCTCAGACCTAGTGGGGGCAGGGCCGAGCCTTCACGGTGGGACCAGAGGTCAGAGGAGGCCACATAAAGTGGTCCAGGAATGGGAGGCCTGGAGGAGAACAGAAGAGGGCCTGACTGCCAGCCCTGCCACATCGCCCACCACCCAGACTGGTGTCCCCTGCATCACCCTCACCTCACTCCAGCAGGATGGGTGACAGGCAGCTCGGCCAGGCTGCTCGGGATGGGAAGGAGCCTCAGGGGCCAGCACCCTGCCAGGGTCCTGCACAAGACGCCCTCTTGCAGCACCTGCAGCCGCCGCTCCGAGGGCTCCAGCCACCGGAAGGCCCCAGCTGTGTCTGTCTGCCCGGGGCAGGGCGGCCGGTCAAGGAAAACCAAAAGCAGCCAGGGGTGGGCCCACGCCACAGGCTAGGCCCCATGCCAAGTGTGTTGGCCATTCCCTCCCATCTCCTCACTGTGGCCCAGCATGGAATAGCGTCACCCTGGTCAGCAGTGAGGCTCAGAAAGGAAAAGGGATCTGCCTGAAGCTACTCAGCGAAACAGAGCCAGGTATGCCTCAGCCCAAAGCCTGGGCTCACCCCTGACCCACTCTGTTCCCAGAACCCTGTGCACCATTTCAGGCCCACCTTTCCTGGAAGAAGGTCCCATTGACACACCTGCTCTTGCCTTCAGACAGGCCTGGATAGTTCATGTCCCCAGTCCAAACAGGCTCCTCCCCCAAAAGCCAGAGAGCAGGGGCCAGTGGCACTTTCCCCCCACAAGTATGAAGCATCTTAGGGCTAGATGCAGTGGCTCCCACCTGTATAATCCCAGCACTTTGGGAGGCTGAGACAGGATGATCAGTTGAGGCCAGAAGTTCAACACTAGCCTGGGGAACATAGACCTGTCTCTACAACACATTTTTAAAATTAGCTGGACATGGCAGTGCACACCTGTAGTCTCAACTACTCAGGAGGATGAGGTGAGAAAACCGCTTGAGCCCAGGAGTTTGAGGCTGTAGTGAGCTATGATGGTGCCACCACACTCCAGCTTGGGTGACAGAACAACTCTGTCTCTAAAAAGTGTCTTATGAGCAGAACACCAATAAATACTGCTCTAGCACTGTTTTATTTTTTCCTTTTTTTTTTTTTCGAGACAGAGTCTCGCTTTGTTGTCCAGGCTGGAGTGTAGTGGCCTGATCTTGATTCATTGAGTCTCAGCCTCCCAGGTTCAAGCAATTCTCCTGCTTCAGTCTCCTGAGTAGCTGGGATTACAGATGTGTGCACCACAGCCAGCTAATTTTTATATTTTTAGTAGAGATGGGGCTTCACCATGTTGACCAGGCTGGTGTCGAACTCCTGATCTAAAGTGATCCACCTGCCTGGCCTCCCAAAGTTCTGGGGTTACAGGTGAGAGCCACTGCGCCCAGCCAGGCTTTTAACTTTTTTGTTTTTTTTGCTCAAGGTGGTTTGGCTATTCTGGGTCTTTTCTGGTTCCATATAAATTTTAGGATTATCTTTTCTATTTCTGTGAAGAATGGCATTGGTATTACAGGGACCCCACAGAGCCCTTTACATTGTAATTGGCACCTCTACCAGGCCATGACCCCTGAGGCCCCAGCTCAGAGCATGTCCCAGAGGACTCAGAGAAGCTCCTAGAATGTGTGTGCACAGCATCCTGGTATTGCTTGGGCCTTAACCCCCTTGTGCCACTTCCTTCCCAGACATGCACAGAACCTGCACATCCCCACAGGCCCTGGGCTCAGGCAAAGGATACAGGCCAGGCCGGCAAGGAGGCCACAAAGGAGCTGCAGGAAGGGTGGCTCAGAGCTGAGCAGCGGGGTCAAGGCAAGCAGCAGCCACGGTGGCAGCCACGGTGGCAGTGCCCCACGGGGCCGTCTAGGGCGGTGTCCCTCCCCAGCCAGCATGCCCAGGTGGACAGGCATGTATCCACAGCCGCCGGCTGCACCAGACACCCCCAGGCCTGCCAGCAGCACTGCCAGCAGCCCAGAAGCCAGGGCAAGCAGGGCCGAGGCATGCAGGAACCTCAGCGTGCCCAGGTGGCACTCCTGCTGCCAGCCCAGAGTGGACAGGAGCAACAGGCTCAGGAGCAGGCCCGGGAGCGCCGTGTGGCCCAGGGCATGGGTCAGCAGCCGGTGCACTGGGAGAGAGAAGGGGCTTATGTGCCAGGTTAATGGCTCCAACATCCAAGGCTGTCCCAGGTGTGGTAGGTTGAAGGTTACCCTACACCAGGGCCACCCACTGAGCCCACCTCCCCTCCCCAGGAGCCAGTCTACCCACAGCCACCACTTAATCATTGGTGGAGGGGACCAAGGACTTCCAAACATGGCAGCTACGCCTCTGTGGCATGAAACTGAACAGGCAGGACCTGCCACTCAGTCTTCTCACTAACAACCCGCTACTGAGCACTCACTATGTCCCAGACACCATGAAGCTACTCTGCTTCCACATTTACTGAATCATACCTGGCTGAGAGCATGAGACTGCCTGCTTCAATCCTGGAGCTACCCTATTCCCTCAAGCTGTGTGACCCTGGTCAAATCACCTAACCTCTCTGAGTATCATTGAGGGTCCTCAAATATAAACTGGAGGAGTTGTTATTATTGGGAAACAACTGCTCAGTTGAGGTCACTCCTCAAACCCCCAACATCTCCTCCTTCCCATCCTCATGCTTAGCTGAAATTCTTAGTTCTTTTCTTTTCTTTTTTTTTTTTTTTGAGACAAAGTCTCACTCTGTCACTCAGGTCGAAGTGCAGTGGCACGATCTTGGCTCACTGCACCCTCTGCCTCCTGGGTTCAAGTGATTCTCCTGCCTCAGCCTCCCAAGTAGCTGGGATTACAAGCACCCACCACCATGCCTGGCTAATTTTTGTATTTTCAGTAGAGACGGGGTTTCACCATCTTGGCAAGTCTGGTGGTCTCAAACTCCTGACCTCAAGTGATCCACCGTCCTCGACTTCCCAAAGTGCTGGGATTACAGGCATGAGCCACTGGGCCCAGCCTTAGTTCTTACTTCAAGAAAAAGCGACCAGAAAGGGAAATCAGAAAAGCACTCCTACCGACAGGTTCCAGCCCACCCTGCCAAGTTATCTGCCCTCCCTTCTTGGCTGTGGATGTGCTGGGCATGCTCCTGTCTAAGGCCAAGCTTCCCCAGGACACTGGGTCCCATTCCTGCTTAACCTCTGCAGGGCTCGTGCTGCCCCTGCCAACTGGGCCCAGGCCCTACACCAAGTTTCCTGCTTTCCAAGGTCCATGTGGCTGGCCCTCACCCTGCCAGGGGTCCAGCAACAGCTCCGGGGCCAAGACAAGGCTGGGGCCGGCCCCCAACAGCCACAGGCTGCTCATCAGCAGCATCAGGACTGAGGAGGCGAGAGGCAGCGGGAACAGAGGGCCGTGGGGGCCCCTGGCATGCATAGCTTGGTTGAGGGTGGTCAGGGGCGGTCCTGGGGCTGTGTGCTGGGGGGTAAAGGAAAACAATAACAAGTTATTATTGCAGCTATCTCACCAATACCCTCTCAAGTACCTTATCAACAGCCCTAGAGGTGCAAGCAGGCTGGAGAGGCAGGCCCAGCAGCTTGGCCATAGTGGAGCTCAGACCCTAAACCATTTGCTCATGAGCCATCTTGCCATTCCACTCACCTATGTTTAAAGACTGGCAGGGGACAGGCATAGAGGCTCTTGAGTCCTGATGGGCCCTAAACTCCCAAAAAGAGGTGTATAGCCCCCTCCCCCAGGGCGAATTCAAGGCCATCTCTAACGCTCTTCTGTCCTCCCCCTTCACCTCAAGCTACTACCTCCCTCTTTCGTCCCTCCCCTGTGCCCAGCCTTAAGGCTCCAGATGGTTTCAGTTGCCCCTGACCCTGGGGTGGTACCAGCCAGTGGGCAAGCACACTGGGGAAGGGGTGGGGCAGAAGGGCAGGAGTCCCACATTTTGAGCCCTACTAGGAGAGCTGTGACTGAGATATCCCCTTTGAGGGCGAGCCCATCCACGGTAAGCCTCCTCCTGCATCCAAACTGGCACAGCCCCTCTGGCTCTAGCTCCCTTTTCCACAGGAA